CACGGGGTATCGCCCTGAAGTCTGCGGTCTGCCAACAGGGGTCTGTAGCCTCGGGGCGTGGCGAAATGCTGCGAGTTTTTGGGTGCAAGCTGCAGAACAATTAAACACACAGCACACACACACACACACACACACACCACCGCGCGCGCTGCGCACGCACGCACGCACGCAGCACGCACACGCCGCACGGCATCACGCACCACGCAGCACGCACCACGCACACGCGACACGCACACACACACCCACACACACACACACACACACACAAAACACACACACGCGCGGCGCGCACACGACACGCGCCAACACAGACACACAAAACACAACACACAACACACAACACACAACACACAACACACAAACACAACGCGACGCGCGCCACACAACACACACTACACATGCAGACACACAAACACCAATACACACTACACACACACACACACACACACACAACACACACACACACACACACACACACGCCACACCACACACATACTATACTATATATACTATATAATCATATATTATAATATCTATACTATAGTATATATATACATGTTGCTTCACGAGGTACCAAGTGCAGTACTGGCGTTGCAACGGCAAGAAAATTTGTGCTGTGCACCGTACAATAAAAAAATAATGATTTTTTTAACAAAATTGAACCATCAGTATCGTATGTCGCTATCGTATCGTTATCGTATATTGTCCCACCTCTTGTATTTCACAAAGGCATAAATTCTGGTGAAGGTGGCGAGATATTCGGAATGTAAACTTTCATCTCATCATTTTCATTATCTGTAACCTCCAGCATTTAAAGTTTGCTAAATTTTATTCTTTGGATCCCTATATTTTTAGTAATTTCCTCACGATGGTCGGAAGCAATGTTAAAAGTAAACTTGGGATCGCTCACATTTTCCAGCCTCCTCACATGGATTCCCCTTTCATTTAGGGTATACCCGCATATTCAAGGCCATTATATAGCATGTAACAAGGCTTTCTTTTTCTCCCCGCCCTACACAAGTCACATCGTCATTCAGTGTCTTATTTAAAGTAAGCCTTTAAATCTATCATGCATGTCTTGCCGATTTAAACACAAACCAAGAATCCTCATAGGACATTGACGTCATATAATTTTTTATCCCATAATTATTTAATATTAATCATTTGCAATTTTGTTTTTGTGCTCCTTCCCTTCGTCCCTTCTATCACGTTTTTTAGCAATTGCCATCTTTTACCATCTTTTTTCCGATCTCATTTTTGATAACGGGCCAATAGATAAGAATGACATAATTTTAATTTCATATTCTTCAATTTTGTCTATGATCTTCATTTGCCCAATTCTTTCCCCATATTTTTAATTTCTGTAACAACACTCCTTCTTCATAATAAACGTTGTCTTTGCTCTAAATTGTATACGGTATTGTAATAACATTTAATCTATTTCTAATAGATTGCCGGTCAGAATTGGTATTATACGTAGCCTCAACTCTTAAAGCGATTGTAGTTGGTTGTTACTATGGTGCACCTAGTACTTCTCCTTAAGGCAGATCGATTTCCTGACGGCCGCTTCCCATAACTTGTGATTTTACCTTTTTTGTTAGCGTTTGTCAAGTTTCATCTATTATTTACTATAGATGCGAGTATCGTGCATCATATTAAATTTCACTTCTAGCTTTTTACTGGTGAATTTCCTTGTTGGCCTTGTTTAGTCATTGTTAGATCGAGCTCCCCATCTATAACCTGCCTCTGTCTATTCTCGCTTTATCATAGCTAATGTAGTCACGTGATTTATAAAACGTCTCCCTACGCATATTTATATTTAGGTACAAGGTTTTATCCTCTTGTTCCTACCGCAATAAATTGCTTTCTTCCTTGCGAATACTTATGTTTCTATGAGCACGAAAATTCTAATATTCGATTATATTTGCTCTTGTCATAGTTGAATTGTTATCATTTTTTCTGTTGCCAAGTAAGGTTGAATGAATGTTGCTTTTTCGTGTACCGATGTTTAGGGTTATTAGCTGATTCCCAGTTGACTCAATCGCATATATAACAACGGTGATGTAGTTCTGTGGACTTTGATGATACACTCTACTAGGAGCCATATCTCACTGTTTATTTGAGTCTAGGACTCCCAGGGTGTCAAGCATATGATCGCAGACCCGAATACGTTCCTTGACCTTACTACCTTCGCCTATATGTCCTATATGCAGACGATGTGATGTGTGAAAACGCTCGCATTGGTGCACGCCCACTATGCCATCTTACGAACAGCGTCGATGGAGTTGTCAACAGAAGGTGCAGAAGCGACTACCAAATTGCTGGGGATTACTCTCAGTATTCAGGATAATGATTTATTAACGATCCATGGAGTATTATGCCACAAGTTACCAAGATTTAAAACAGCCCCACATAAAAACTCTAGGTGTGTGTGATTATTGTACGTCCTTGCAGCCTCTGCTCAACGCTATTTATTTTGATTGTAGGCGTGTGTGTCAGGCGTGTGGTGCTCACGAAGTACTTCAGCAGGTATGTGAGTGTGAGTGTACTCTCACTCCTACTACTGTGTACTACTAATACTAGCTACTCCACAATTGCAATATAGGTACGATAAACATAGCTCTGTAATTGACTATACTTACGCAAATAAATCGCCACTCGATGACTTACTGCCATGTTGCCCATAAGTTGAACATCAAACAGTTGCATATGCACATAAGGGGTCACAGTATAGCTACCAACCACACCGGCCGTAACAATAACCGGTGCTATTTCTGTACCCCAATCGGCAAATCGCGGGTAAATGGTTAGCTCTACTACTGAACTATAGCCCTTCCGCTCCGCCACAGTTCGTGCCCACCTGTGCCAGCAGCGAAGCTCCCTGCGATAGTTTACGCACGCTAGCGCCAACCGCGCCGCCACTCCACGTCCCTCTCACTCCTCCCCAACGACCCTACCCCCGCTCTCACCATCAGCCACCTGTAGCCTGAGCAACTGCTCATATGGCCCTCGCACCCCTCCCTGTCAGTAGCTCCGAGAAGGGCGCCGTCCGGCGCCCGCACGCACACCCCCCCTGGACACACTAACACCTCGCCCGCACAACTCAGCCCCCCCCGACACACTACCCACCCCCGCGACAACTGCCACCGCACCAATCTCACCCCCTCTTCTAGCGCGTCCTAGGGTTAGCGCGTTGTCTTTAGGGGGGTAATTGTCCGTGGTGGCAGTGGCATGTCCGGGTCGGCAGTTGTCCGGGTGGTAGTTGTCCAGGTGGCAGTTGTCCGGCGTTGTAGTTGTCCAGGGGCGGGTAATTGTCGGCGGGTAGTAGTCCTAGAATCGAGAAGGGCCCACGACTGTTATCAACTAAATAGATGCAAGTATGTAAACAGCTAGTACGCGCCCGTTATCTGTGCATGGATTACGTAAGTTCTTATTTTGTCAACTAACTATGCTGTATAGTTTCGAAAGTTGACATACTTGTTCACTAGTTAGCCCTATTTACAATACAGCTATTACATATAACCTGTATGTATTATTGTAATTGATGATAATATCAGTCCTAGTATAGGCAGTATATATCATGGAAATGTGATTGCAAGGCTTATTATGGAACAGCATGTGATGGTTCTCTAATAACTTTCACATCTAATACTATAGTATAGGGTTTAAGTAATTCTATAGTAAAACCATGTTTCAATGTAAACCTCCCCCCCCAATCCATTACCATGGTCGGATAATCTAGGGTGTTAAATGGTTTCTGTGTGGGCCCATTGTAAATCTGCATACTCCAAGGTAAGAAAGAATCAATTAGATGAAATATGTTAATGTACAATAGCTACTGCCATTATATATTTTAGATACAGCTGAACACTACTACCACAGTTCACACTAAGCAATAAAAACGTCGTACCAAATATGGTTAGTTTAAATTCAGACACTTGCCTCAAAAAGCCGGAAACTAACTGTAAGCGTGAAGCGAGCTACTGGGATCGCTATCTGTTGCTTAATGCTAAGAAGCTGCCTAAACATGATGCAGATGAATGCAAAATAGTGTAAGTGTATGTTAATTATTTGTTAGATGTCTACTGCTATATATATATATATATATATATATATATATATATATATATATTATATCAAGAGGTGTATAAGAAAGGCAGAGCGAGTAGCACGCGTGAAATGCGGAACCATGTTGGGCTGATTTTACCCGTCAGTCGAATAATCAAACTTATCCCCGTTTATCTTTGACGATTTTGTGATGATTATTATGATCAGACTGTCCTACCTTGTTAATATTAAAACAAACGGCATGTCCCTACGATGCCCTACGCTGAGATACTATTCGGTGAAAATCTAGTATTTTCGCCGAAACCTGACTCGAGATACCTGCTGACTGCCGCACTCGTCTCTCGCTTTGTGCCAGTGGTTGCCTCGGTCGCCGCTGCTGTAGGCGCCATGGGAAGCGCTGACTCACGTCAGTACTGCCAGAGTTTACGTATACATCCAGAGTGAGGTTAGGCACAGGTGGGCGTCATCACTATGTCAATCGAATAACAGACGTCTTCATTCCATTCTGTCAATCATATGCACGACAACACGCGAGGTTTGCCGAAGCTTATCTCAAAGCCCCGAGAGACAGTTCGAGCGGCGACGCTTCAGCAGTCAATCTCAGACGTCGGTCTTTCGGCAAAAATACCAGATTTTCACCGCACATTATCTCAGCGTCAAGGGCATCGTCAGGGACATTTGCGGTTAGTTTATATTAGACAAGGATAGGACAGCTGATCAATAATAATCACACAAATCGCGTCAAAATAAACATGCCCGGCGCAAAGTTTATTAATTCTTCGACTACGGGTAATCACTAGCAACATGGTTCAGCATTCACCGTTGTACGCTCTCTTTCTTATACACTCTTGATATAGTATAGTATATATATATATATATATATATATATATATATATACAGTAGACATCTAACAAAGAAATAACATACTTACACTATGTTTGATTCATCTGCATCATGTTTAGCAGCTTCTAGCATTAAGCAAAGTAGCGATCCATAGGCTCGCTTCACGGCTACAGTAGTTTCGCTTTTTTGAGGAATGTCTGAAATTTAAACTAACATATTTGGTACGACGTTTTATTGCTTAGTTGAACTGGTTAGTAGTGTTAGCTGTAGTTATATATATGGCAGTACTATTTACATTTACATATTTCATCTAAATTGATTCTTTCTTACCTTGGAGTATCAATTTTACAATGCCCACACAGAAACCATTTACAGCCCTAGATATCCGACCATGGTAATGATTGGGGGGGGGTTACATTGACATGGTTTTACATAAATTACTTAAACCCTATACTATAGTATTAGATGTGAAATTTATTAGAAACCATCAACATGCTTGTTCCATAATAAGCTTGCAATCACATTTTCCATATATATATGCCTTACTAGGACTGATATTATCATAATTACAATAATTAATACCAGTATATTGTAATGCTGTATTGTAAATAGGGCTAACTAGTGAACAAGATGTCAACTTTCGAAACTATACAGCTAGTTAGTTGACAAATAGAAATACGTAATCCTGCACAGATACGGGCCTACTAGTGTTACATACTTGCATCTAGTTAGTTGATAACCATGTGGCCCTTCTCGATTCTAGGACTACTACCCCCGGACAATTACCCCCCTAGGACAACTACAACCCGGACAACTGCCACCTGGACAACTACCACCCGGACAACTGCCACCCGGACAACTGCCACCCGGACAATTACCCCCCTAAGACAACCCTAACCCTAACCCTAGAAGGGTAGTTGTCCGGGTGGCAGTTGTCCGGGTGGTAGTTGTCCGGGGGGTAGTTGTCCAGGTGTTAGTTGTCCAGGGGGTTGTCGTCCGAATACGGCCCTTCTCACCTACTACATAGTGCTAGGCCATATACATTCTAGGCTAACATCTATTGGAAGCTTATCTTTGAAGATTGAAGACTTGTAGTGCTGCCTTTTGCCTAGCTCTAGAACTATAGCCCTTCGCTCTGCCACAGGTGCACGAACCTGTGGCGGAGCGAAGGGCTATAGTTCTAGAGTAGAGCTACCATTTACCCGGCGATTGCCGATTGGGGGTACAGAAATAGCACCGGTTATTGTTACGGCCGGTGTGGTTGGTAGGCTATACTGTGACGCCCTTATGTGATATGCATATGTTGATGTTCAACTTATGGCAACATGGCAGTAGTCATGGTGCGATTTATTTCGTAAGTGTAGTCAATTACAGAGCTATTTTATCGTACCTAATTGCAATTGTGGTAGTACTAGTATTAGTAGTACCACAGTAGTAGGAGTGAGAGTACACTCACACTCACAGTACCTGCTGAGTACTGTGTACACACAGTGACACACACGCCTATCAACAAAATAAATAGCTTGAGCAGAGCTGCAAAGGACGTACAATAATACACACACCTAGAGTTTTATGTGGCTGTTTTAAATTTGGTATATTGTGGCATAATACGTCCATGATCGTTATAAAATCATTATCCTGAATAACTGAAGTATCCCCAGCAATTTGTAGTCCTTCTTGCACTTCTGTTGACAACTCCATCGACGCTTTTCGGTAAGATGCATAGTGCTGCCACCATGCGAGCGTTTTTCACACATCACACTCTGCATATAGGACATATAGGCGAAGTAGTAAGGTAAGGAACAGTATTGGGTCCGATCATATGCTGTACCACCCTGGAGTCCTAGACCAAATAAACAGTGGAGGATATGGCTCCCTAGTAGATGTATATCAAAGTACCACAGAAATACCACCGTTGTTATATATGGATGATCAACTGGGAATAGCTAATAACCTAAACATGGTACAGAAAATAGCACATTCATTCAACTTACTTGCAACAGAAAAAATGATAACATTCAATATGGACAAGACAAATATAATGAATATTAAATTTTCGTCTCATAGAAACATAAGTATTGAAAAAGAAGAAACAATTTATTTGGGTAGAACAGAGATAAAACATTGTACTAAATATAAATATCTAGGAGACGTTTTTAATAACAACGGTGACTACATAGCTATGATAAAGGCGAGAATAGACAGAGGCAGGTATATGATGGGGGACGTCGATCCTAACAATGACTAAACCAAGCCACAAGGAAATTTCACAGTAAAAGCTAGAGTGAAATTATATGAGTGCACGATACTCCCATCTATAGTAAATAATAGTGAAACTTGGACAAACCTAACAAAAAAGGAAATACAATTATTGGAACGCTTTCAAAATGATTGCTTAAGGAGAATACTAGGTGCACATAGTAAAACCCAACTAATCGCTTTAAGAGTTGAGCTAGGTATAATACCAATTCTTGACCAAATCTATTAGAAAAGATTAATGTTATTACAATACATAATAAATTTAGAGCAAGAACGTTTAATGAGAAGAGTGTTGTTACAGAAATTAAAATATGGGGGAAAAATTGGGCAAATGAAATCATAGACAAAATTGAAGAATATAAATTAAATATGTCATTCTTATCTATTGGCACCTTATCAAAAATGAGATGGAAAAAGATGGTAAAAGATGGCCATTCTAAAAAACGTGATAGAAAGGGACGAAGGGGAAGGAGCAACAAAAACAAAATTGAAAATGATTAATATTAATAATTATGGATTAAAAAATTATATGACGTCAATGTCCTATGAGGATTCTTGTTTTGTGTTTAAATGCAAGACATGCATGATAGATTTAAAGGCTTACTTTAAAATAAGTACACTAATGACGGATGTGACTTGTGTAGCGGGGGAGAAAAAGAAGACTTGTTACATCTATATAATGGCCTTGAATACGGGTATATAAATAAAGGGGAATCCATTGAGGACTGGAAATGTGACGATCCCAAGTTACTTAAAATTGCTTCCGACCACGTGAGGAAATTACTAAAATATAGGGATCAAAGAATAAAATTAGCAGAATTAAATGCTGGAGGTACAGATTAATGAAAATGATGAGATGAAAGTTTACATTCCCAGAATATCCTCGCACCTTCACCAGAAGTTATGCTTTGTGAAATACAAGAGTGGGACAATATACGATACGATACGATACGACGATACGATACGATGGTTTCAATTTTGTTAAAAAAATCAATTATTTTTTTATTTGTACGTGCACAGACAATTGCGTTGCAACGCCAGTACTGCACTTGTACTCTGAAAGCAACATGTATATATATACTATATATATATATATATATATATATATATATATATATAGGTATATAATGTGTGTGTGGTTGCGTGTGTGTGTGTGTGTGTGTGTGTGTGTGTGTGTGTGTGTGTGTGTGTGTTGTGTATGTGTGTTTGTGTGTCTGCATGTGTATGTGTGTGTGTGCGCGCGTGGCGGTGTTGTGTGTTGTGTGTTGTGTGTTGTGTGTTGTGTTTGTGTTTTGTGTGTTGTGTTGTGCGTGTGCGTGTGCGCGCGCGCGTGTGTGTGTTTGTGTGTGTGTGTTGTGTGTGTGTGTGTGTGTGTGCGTGTGCGTGTGCGTGTGCGTGTGCGTGTGCGTGTGCGTGCGCGTGTGCGTGTGCGTGCGTGCGTGCGTGCGCGCGCGCGCGTGTGTGTGTGTGTGTGTGTGTGTGTGTGTGTTAATTGTTCTCAGCTTGCACCAAAAACTCCCAGCATTCGCCAGCGAGGCTACAGACCCCTGTTGGCAGACCCAGACTTCAGGGCATACCCCGTGTGACTCGAGCAAATAAGATCAAGGCATGTGTCATTTCATCTTATCTCTAGCCACATGTACAGAAGCTTGGACTTGCCGCAAAAATGAGGGTCTATCTACGAGGCGATCATACTGCTGGAGTCTTCTCTAAACATCCTCTCTAATTGAGCAATAGCGAGGTAACTCCAAATACCAATGGTCAAATCACAATGATCAAGGAGATTGGTGTGGTAGTCAAGTCATCGGAGAACCTCATGAGATCTGTTTTTCCTGACATGGCACGTCACTAGCAAAATCCCCAGTGGCTTTCTGAGTGCGCCATCCTTCCCTCAAAGAGCGATGCAGTTGGTGATAACGACTCTAAGCTACTGCAATAGATTCCAGGGGATGCACACCCTACAAGTCCATCGATACTGTTCCCGACACATCTGAGACTGCATATGCAGTGCCCAGTCGAGTTTCTCAACTCGCTTGGGAACTTGCTAACTTGCAAACTCCCTTGAACTTTCCTGCTGTTCATATCCCAGGCCCGTAGGAAGTGGGGGGGAGGGGGCAATGGGGCGCCTGCCTCCAACAATTTCCTGAAATTTGTTTAAGTTATTTTAAAATACACAGCCACTATCAATTGTCCAAAAATAACTAAAAACAGTTTTCCTCCGCCACACAGACCGAATAGATATATTTATTCTTGGACATTATGTATTGCTCATCACATACATTAATTATGTATATAACAGTTTGTTACATAATGCACATATCATTCATGCACGGTTCATGCTTTTCTCCCAGCATGCATGTATAATGTAACATTTGCAATGCCAGAATACACGAGAAAGCTTTATTTCAATATTGAAAATTTTAAAAATTTCAGACCATTCACCTATCTCGGGGCTATACGCGCCTCACAGACTCGCAAGCGCATCTGTAACCCATTGTCCCTCCACTGTCTATATGTCTATATGTCTGTATACCTTCCTACGAGCCTGTCATATCCACAGGCTCCAGCTCAAAGTTGGTTCACGCATCGTGCTCCTGAAGAATATTCATCCACCAAAGCTCTGCAGCGGAACACTCCTGGCTTTACAGCAACTTGTTCCACGCGTCATTGATGCTACATATATGTCTGGGGCTGGAAAAAGAATGGATGTGTTATCTCGAGGATCCCTATCATCCCAACAGACCACAGGGTGTATTTCAAGCGCCTCCATTTTCCAGTTAGGCTCAGTGTTGCAATGGCTATTAATAAGGGCCATGGATAGTCGCTGGCCTTAATCTAACATCACAATGCTTCTCCAATGGTCAGCTTTACGTTAGGTGTTCAAGAGTTATATTCCCACAAAACCCCTTCATTCTTCGGCCAGACGGAAACACCACCAATGTCGTATGTCCAGAAGCTTTGACAACATAGAGTCATGGAATATTTCAAACTGTTCTTGTCAGAATATTATTTGCCTCTTCATATTTTATTTCTCTGTTACGACTCTATCCTTAGAATTAAGTAAATGTATGTTAGGATTTACACTACCAGTTGTTCCTTGTCTTTTTTCTAATAGTAGTAAATTATTAAATAAATAACTAACTAAATAAATACATAAATATCCAAAATAAATATATACACATTAGTCTACATTCAATAGCCAAAACCGGCGATTTTTCTATATTTTTTACATATTAGAAGGAGTGTATAATATAGAGTATCTCTATATTCTACATTCCTGATCTTATCTATAGCCTCGTTCACACGAGACCTCGTATTTATGAAATACGGTATTTGTGAAATACCGAATCTGAGACAAATACGCGGCCGAGCGTTCACACGCTGATTCGCGGCTCCAGAAATACGGTATTTTGCGAGCTGCGAGCTGCTTAATTAACAACACGCGAACAACGCAAAATAAACAATGCAATGACGCACAAACTGCCGAAAACATACGTAGACTGGTCGCGCTCGACAGCTTCCACTTGCGTCTACACTGGAACTGTCGAGCGCGGACCAGTCTATAAATACGCGGCTCCAGAAATCCGGTATTTAGCGTTCACACGAGGAAATGCCGCGGTCCAGAGATCCGGTTTCTCAAGCACGGCAAATTTATTCGGGGTCTGGGAAGCCGCGTATTTACATCAAATACCGGATCTGTTTAAATACGTATGTTTGGACCGCGCATTTTGCCTCGTGTGAACGCTAAATACCGGATTTCTTTGCTACGTGTGAACGCGGGCTTATGTCGCCACTCGTGTGAGCGTGGCCACGTGCGGTAACGCGTGTAAGCGTGTGTACGTGCTTAACCGGTCAAAGTTATTAGGAAGCCGTCAATGTATCCATGCATAGCAGTGCACACGTTATTAAAACACCTGCTGATTCACTGCGGTATAAATAATATCAGAGCTAAAATGTATTATTAGATGTTGATAATATTTGATGAAATCGTATATATTTAATATAATATTGTTATACAATGTATATATATGTAAAATTCCCTTTATATCATCGCGCTATATCCTTATTGCGAAGCCATATCTAACGGATGCTATGTGCACAGCGGTAACACGGTCACACGTCGTAGAGCGAACCCATGCTGTTGGAATAGTACGTAATAAAAGCGATGCATATAGAAGGTAACAGGCTAATCTAATCTATACATAGACCAAACTAGAATTCAACGTGTACGCGTATATGTAATTAGTGTAAGCCATCGAGTTTACTACATGCGTAGTGATCTGTGTTCGAGAAGGAACTGTGAACTGTGACGATCCCCTTTCCGCAAAATTTTCCCAATTCCAGATCCCCCCACACCACACGCGCGCGCGCGCACGTACGCACGCACGCACACATAAACACAAACACGCACGCGCGCGCATGCACACATACCACGCACTCACGCATACATACGCATACACACACGTGCGCATACACACACGTGCGCATACACACACACACACACACACACACAACACACACACACACACACACACCACACACACGCACGCACGCACGCACGCACACACACACACATACATACACGCACGCATATTGACAATCTGCCAAAAAATGCTCATATTCTGTGATTTAAAATTTAAAAGGAGTGTATATACTCAGAACAGGATTTCTGTGAAAAGTGTGAAACACATGGTCTTCCTTATATAACAATAGAGAAATTAAATCTTCTTAGTAACCCGATCTTTGCAGTGTCGAATGTAATTATATGTATACACTGGCAGAGATACCCGGTGTTGCCCGGGCTAAAAAGTAACCAACTTTTAATATGGGTTTCCACCGTTAGCAAAGACATATAAGAATTGGCAAAATAGTTCTGTATTTTTTATCACTGCATATTCAGAGATTCTCGAAAGATACATTTACATTATGTGTGCATGAATTACATTGAAAGGAACATTGAACAATGAATTCATTAACGGTTACCGAACACCTCAGTATACGCAATGTTGTACATATTTCCAGTAGGGGCATAAACAGACACATTATGTGGATTTCCAACTAGTGAACACCCTACACTCAGCCGTCCATAAAAGAAGCAAGACTCCTTCAGTTGTAATCCAGCAACAGTTAATGTTTCTTCTAGTAGTGAATGTTAATCGACATGGCAAAATTCAGGCGAACAAATTGCAGTCTCTTAAATCGAAAAAGGGCGTGTCACCAGGAGATTTCGTAATAGATAGGGAGCGACAAGTAATTGATTTGTCAAAAAGTGTGTAGGGTGGTATGTAAGGCAGCGATACACTTCCTCACACACACACACGTGCGCGCGGCACGACGCGCAAACGCACGCACGCACGTACGAACACACGCACACACACACACACACGCGCGCACACACACACACACACACACACACACACACACTCGCACACACACACACGCCACACACACACACACACACACACACACACACAACACACACACATTACACACGCACACACACTGACGCGCGCGCGTATTACTCATACACGCATAGATTTACGTCTGTACTGTGTAAATCATGAAACATAAAAATGTAATAAAATACAATAGCAAACAATGTAGCTTTTAGAACTAACGGAAATAGGCTATTTAAAGATATTGAAAGAACCTGTATCTGGCAAAGTATCTTTCCTTAAAATTTTAAATTTTATATAAATTATATAAATTTTATAGAATAAATTATAGCATTTTTATATGCATCCGGAAAAATTATTGCAGTGCAGTTCAATATAAACGTAAACAATTCGTGTAGCTTTTAAACATGCTTCTTTACTTATTTAGATTATTTTAATTGAATCTATTAATTGTTCTTTAATGTAATATGTACAAGCATCATATTAAAAATGTACACTGAATAAGTTTCAAACATAAAACACTGTTACCACACAAACGCTTATGGATTCTAAACTATCGCGCATAGATTACGATTGTTACTTCGAGATAATGCCATATTCTCAAAGTAAAATAGCGCATGCCAGCTCCTGTGGTTATCTGACAGTGTCTTGAATGTATTAACTTTTCTGCGACGGATTTGCAATGTTCACGCGTCCGGGCTCGTGTCGCGCTAAGTCGACCGCAGTAGCGTCGTAGTTAAGAGAAATGTGTTTGTGGACAAGTAGGAAGCAGCATCGCATCTAACCGATACCCAGTGTTTTCAGATATGCGGCTTTGATGAGTCGTAGGAAAGAGTTGCTGCACTCTACTAGTACGCTTGGGCTTATAGACCCTTCTTAATTATTATTCATGACCTGGGGTCACACACGAAAACGAGGCCTGAAGCTATGAGGCAATTTGTAAACAATGCGTGCTCAGGCAGGCGCGCACAGAAGGGGGTACACGCACGTACAGCACGTACACGCAGATACACGCACGTACCGCGGGCGTACACGGAGATACACGCAACGTACACGCAGGTACACGCACGTACACGCACGTACACGCAGGTACACGCAGTACACGCGGTACACGCACGGACACCGCAGATACCGAGTACACGTACACGCGATACCGCACGTACACGTACACCGAGATACACGCACGTACAGGTACACGCAGATACACGCACGTACACCCGCGGTACACGGAGATACACGGAGATACACTCGTACACGCGGGTACAGGCGTAGCACGCGGGTACACGCGTACACGCAGATGACCACGCACGTACCACGCAGCATACACGCACGTACACGTACACGCAGATACACGCAAGTACACGTTACGCAGATACACGCAGGTACACGCACGGTACACGCAGGTACACGACAACGAGGTACACGCACGTGACACGCAGGCTACACCACGCAGACGCCGTACACGCCACGTACACGTAGCACGCAGATAACACGTACCCGGCAACGGACCACCCGTACGATGACACGCACGTCACGC